AAAGCCGCTCAATACACAAATGTCCTTCCATGCCACGCACCCTCGGTCACCCGCTCCCTCTGCTTTCTCTTTTCTTTCTCCGAATATGGTCCTGACTCTGCAGCTCCTGAGGAGGAAGTGGTTTATGACACTGTCAGATCACATCTGTGAGAGGGACAGAGGAGCCAGCGCCGGAGATGCCACAGATACTTTAAGGAAGAAGGTCTCGCTGGAGAAACTGACCGAGGTTTGGAGCTAAAGTGCTCCAAGATGAATAATGTGAAAATAAGGTCTTAAAACTGCTCCAGAATGTAAACATTTTTCTTTGACTGAGTGAAGCTTACCATGTCTGCATATGATTTGTAAAAGAAAAGTACATCTTTGTTAAAATACAGAGGTGGCAACTTGTAACTCTAAATAATCCGCATTGCCAGGCTCATAATTTTCCCTTAAAAGGTTTATGAATTGTTTCTTCCACGTTCAAAGCAGCCTTTCTGGCTTCAGAAAAACTATGTTTATGTTTAGCTCCCTGCGCTCGGGCCAACAGAGATGAAGATGACAGATGGCTTTCTTATGGAAGAGAAGCTTCATGACAAACTGCTCAGAAGGCTGACAGGATAAACTGAGTGAAGATGCACAGCGGTGTGCTTGGAGAATTAGGATAACTGACCAGCAGGAAAAAAACAACAAGTCATCCAATAAATTGTCCCTTTAATTATTGAGATAAGTGATAATATTGTCATTTTGAGACAATTTTCAAGTAATATATTGATGATAGGGCAATGTTCCCTTTATTTACTGGCACGTATAAACATTAATGTATTTTCTCCTGTAATAGTTCTCCTTTGCCCATTTATTTTCCTCATGCCTTTTCTTTTTCCTTCTGACTCTTTGAGACGTAACTTGGAAAAGAGGGGAGGAGAAATGAAGGCGATTCTGGTGGGCTACAATAAGAGTCATCTTTTCTCCTATTGGTCAACTTCAAAGCTCTGTGTGCTGACAAAGTATATGGATATTGTACAGCTCTCTATTTTACATTTCAGGCTATGACAATATTAAATCAATCTACAGTGACACTTCAATTTGTCTCTCCATTTTATTCTAAATTCTAATTTACCTGGATAAAATTCACTCCTACAATAAACCAACATCTGTATTTTATGTATGAAAGAGACAGTAAGGAACATGTGTTAAACTCAAGGCCCAGGGGTCAAATCTGGCCCTTCACAGCTTTTTATGTGCATATATAGAAGCTCCAAGATGAAAGTAGTTTGCTTAAACATTAACTTATCAGTCAAAATTGTGTGATTCCGACAACTCACGTAAAACCAATATATTCCTACACTTTTTCTAGCTGATGCATAATTGTGAGTTTATTGCATATTTTTCACAAAAACGGTCAAAAACGTTGGGTTTGGTCATGTTAACTCCCACCTGCAGGTGGAAGTATTTCCTACTTCTACTATATTGTTGCCTCAGCCTGACTTGAGGGGTAGTTATTGTCTATAATCGATGTAACGAATAACAGAAGGTCACATTTATCTCACAGAGCAAATATCACAAAATTTCTTGCAAATATTTCTAAATCAGTGATTCTGATTGCAAAAAAAAAAATCACGAAAACCATCATTAAATCCTGGAGGAATTACATTTTAAGATGTGCTTATCAAATGGAGACACAGATACTTATTAATATTTTAACAGTTTTTCAATACATTCTGGCACAACCGGCCGTTTTGAGAACACTCATGATCTTGATATAGACCAAAATGAAAATTATTTTTACATCCCTGCACTAAAGCATCATTTTACATAACAGATAAAGTGCTGAATCTACAACAATTTGTTTCAGTTTAATTTGGTACATCTGCAGCAAAATTCCCAAGTTGAATTTGAGAACAAAGCTCAAGTTTGAGGATGTTTTGTTATTATATAAGAGTAGAGCGCACTGAACTAAAGAGTTACAGTGAGCTGGTCTAAGGTCATAAACAGCAGTTCAAACATTTTTCTCATGCTAACGAAGCAGTTTAAGTTAAGTTGCAAATGCCAACAAATACAAACACACACACACACAAGCACAAAACAAAATGAAAATGAAGAATAAATCAAATCAATGCTTCACATACTAACCCAAGTCACGTGTAATCCTACATGCAATCCTGGCTTCATCCACAGAGGACCATATTGGTCAGCATCTGTGCCAGCGCTCCATTGACCCATATCTTGCTCTTGCCCAGAAGTCAAATGCCTCTCAGTATCTCTCTGACTCACTCTCAGGAGGCTCATCACTGCCACTAACTGCTGGCAGACACCCAAAATATGCTGTAAATATCATGGACACTGTTTTGTTTTTTATAATTACTGCATGTTTTCTGTTATTAATAAAATTTTCATTGTTTCTTTTACTCTCTACAGTTTACAGTCTTTTTTTTTTTGCACCTTCAACACCAGTATTAATACAACAGTGGATGGATCTTTATGATAGGGTTTGTGAAACAATTTATTAAGCCCACATCAGCTTATGATAGTGGACATGCAGCTGCAGATGTCAATTCCTCCAAATTATGGATTTTCTCCCATCCATGTTCGTGTGAGTTTTAGACCCATCTGTAGAAGCCCGCTTTCCCTTTTAACATGGGAAAATGTCTTTTTATAAGTGAAATAATCTGCCAGAGAATCTATTGCTTTTTCTGATCAATATTATAGAATTATTGACGTAAAACAAGCTCCTATATCCTGCTGAAAAGTTATACTTGTACATTAGTTTTGTCTTATTTTAAGTATACTAAGATATTTGCACTGGAAATGACATCAAAATACTTGCTAAGATTTGATGTTTTTTTAAGTGTGAGCAATTCAAATTTTCCAGGTTAGAAGGAGGAAATTCCAACCTTTAGGTAAAAATTTAATGCACCTGGAAAGACACAGCCAGACTCACACTCAGGGGAGACAGGCTGGCAGACGCCACTCATTGTAATCCTTCAGAAACTGCATAAAGCAAAAATAATCACATAACATCAAATCAACTCAGCTTATGATAGAAATGCTGTGTTCTGACACACAGAGCATGGGGTTAAAAGGGCAGCTATAGGATGAAGGTCGTGTCCACAACAGGGGATAAATCTCTTAGTCCTGTTGTCCTCTGACTTGAGGTCCCTTGAGGTCATAAATCCTTGACTTTGTTCTGATAGATCTGACCTCTCAGTGATATTTGTCTTTGTAGCATTTTTTTAATTCAATGCTTTTTGAATTTGTGAGAGAATTGTATAGACGGTGTGAACTAATTAATATCTGTATTATCTGTTCCAGTCAGGAAGCTGTTTGCCATTCTGCATAAATCTGCATGGTAATCTTTGCAGCTGCTCACTAATTGGAAATCTTCCTTCAATGATTGGTTGGTTCATCCATTTTATGATTATGGGAACTGCATTCTAAATCATCTTTTAATCTGATAGGGCCTGTCACTGTCTTCTTTGTTTAAATGTACATGGCGCCACATTAAACACAAATGTATTCTATTGGAATAATTGCATACTTTTAAATTATTCTCAGCTCAGGTTCAATCTAATTTTCTCATATTTTCAAGGTTAAAACCAATAATTTTCTAACCATATGCTGACAAAGGAAGACTTTCAGTACAGACTGTCCTTTCATTAAATGCAAATTCAGGACAGCAGCCCCTCAATAGTCACGATCAGACAATATCACCTTCCCCCCCAATCTGCAGCAGCTCTTATCCTGACTCAAGACTCCACAGACACACTCTCATTGTTAAAAGTGACCTATTCTGCTTCCTTGTACAGGTTAGGATAGGTCTTTGGGCTTCACAAAACATGTTCATTACATTTTTTTTGTACCAAATTCTTCGATAATGAGATTTCAGTCTTGTCAGTTTTGCCTATTTGAGCTCCTTTCAGAACGAGCTGTTTCAGGGCCACTTTAAATCCAAATAAGTTGCTGCTGGCCACGCCCTCTTCTCAATGTTTATACTCACATGTGAAAATGGCTGCAAACAGATACAAAATTATACAACCAAATTCTGAAAACCAACAAGAATTCAGCAAGTGGTTTCTCAATGGTAAGTCAACAACAAAACAGTTCTCTTTCCCAGCAGCCATTGTACAGCAAATACAGCAGTGAAACCAGCTGAGCAAAGGTGCTGGAGCTCCACTGCTTGGGTTGCTAGGTAACGGGGCTGGGTTTGGCTAGGGTTGCTAGGTAACGGTGCAGTGCCCGTCAAATGTGACTCAACAATTAACTTATTGCCAAAATTGGATGGGTGATTTTTTTAAGAGCCTGTGTTGTTTTTAGAAGAAGCTGAGATCCAAATGAAAGTATAAAAACCGTTAAGTCTGTTGGCTAAGTATATCACAGCACATTTGTATAAATTGTTCTCTTAATTTTAACCTCTAACCCTATTTTGCTCTTCACAGTACCGTTTTACTGCAGTGGCTCTAAAAGAACCACTGCATCCCTATATGAACCCTATAGGGATGAAAACTATTTACTTAAATCAGCTGACACTGGGGGGTGTCAACTCTCTTGAGCTTTACATCATGCTATAATTATATCCCCTCATCCCAAACATACTTGGAGTGCTGCTTTGATTCTTTCATGCATATTTGTCAACCTTTCTAGGATTCCTAAATGCTTCCTTTGCACCTTCCCCACTCAGCTCCTCCAAACTAGTGGCACCAGCATTAAGCAAACACCCGGTGTGCATATGCTGAGCTCCTCATGCAAACTTCTCAGTTCAACTTTCCTAAGAAAAGTTGTGATTGAAAAGCATTTTTGTGGTGATGTGCTGAAGGCCGAGTGCCAGAGAAGGAGCCTCTTAAAGAGACAGAGGCCTAATTTCAATGTGTTAAAATGAGAAATCGAATTTCTTTGAAGTTATGTTTGACATGTACAACATTTTTATACCAACTGAAGGTAACATTTTCTTGACTGTGCCTGGAAAATACATGCCTTAAAAAAAAAGTATAAATTTGTGAATAAATTAAACAAGATGAGTTTTGTACCTGCAGAAAATCTCCTCGCCATCCAGCTGGTAGCACTGTCCTCCGTTGAGGCAATAGTTGGGCTGCATCTCACAGGCAGAGCGGCAGCTTCCATTGATCAGCTGGTAGCCCACTCTGCACCCATTAGGCGAAACGTTAGGTGCGGCACCAGGATATGGTCCCCCAGGGATGAAGGATCCAGACCCAGGGACCCGAGGCCTGGAGCGAGCAGGAGACCCCGCAGCCTCTCTGAGGTCTTCTTCGGTCTCATAGGCATCGGTTGTGGTGCTGTAGCTGTACTCGTCAACAGTGGTAGTCATGCCGTCGTCATAGGGTGTAAGGTAGTCGTAGTTTTCTGGCATTGCCCAGGAAGTTGCCTCTGCGCCTTGCAGCTCGTGGGCCAGAGATGATGGAGAGGGTGGGGCGAGGTTAAGGTTACGCCCACGAGAGGATGGATCAAAGAAGTCCACGTGAAGGACGTCCGGATTGGAGGGGTTGGTGGCAGCTGCTGGCGGGGCGGTAGTGGTGGTGAGGTGGTCCAGGTCAAGCATGGCAGTTTCCTTGACATGGATCCAAGGTGGGTCGGTATGTGGCAGACCCTCCTCCTCTTCATCCCCTTCTTCCTCTCCTTTCACGACGTCCTCTCTGAGTGGGTTGCTAGGCAACAGAAGATCTGTCTCAGCCGAATCGGGGATGATGTGGGGCGTCGCTGCCACGCTCACTTTCTCCACCGTGGGAGCAGGAAACATGCCGCTGCTCTCAGCGTCGTCCTTGTCGCCGCGAGGCATACGACCCGCCCTCTGGGTCACGGAGCCGATTGGAGCAGAAGTGGCAGAGGTGCTCATCCCGGTTACTGTTGCCATGACATCATTAACCTTTACAGGGCCGTCTTCCTCGATGACTGGAGAAGTGGTATTGACTTTATTGTCTGGCTCAGTAGCATTTACACCAAGAACCATCCCTGCAAAGAGAGAAAAGTCTTTTAGTATTGTTTGTTGAATATGTACAAAAAAAATATACTTACACCATGAAGCATAATGTCAAAACTTTTGTTTTACATTTTCAGGGGAGTGACTGGAATTATAAACTTATCAATATTCCCACTCTTTGTCCACCTACATAATCTTACATTTATTACTTGTATAATCCTTACATATAACAGCTAAAGCCATATTTAATAGGAAATATAGTATCAATTTAATTATAATTACAGTGGACAAAACAATCATGATTTTTATATCCAGCAATAATCCTATGTTTATATGATCATTTTAACAGTTTTACGTTTGAACATTGTTGAAGTTCAATATTCAGATTCTTCCACAGTTTGACTCCACTTACTGATTTCTAGTTCTGAATTTGTATATTTTAAACTATGATTCCCTCCTTAACCTATAAATTTGCACTTTAGTCTTAAACAATTTTCTAATGTTTTCTGGTGACTGTTTTTTTTTGTTGTTGTTTTTGATTTTGTAAAGAATTAGAGCTGCCTATTGTTTCACTATGTTAAAAACTTTTAATAAGTTAGATTGTACAAATCCTGTTTTCTAAATATCCCACCTTATAAATTCAAATTTGTGAAGATTTCTAAATGCAACAAAATTCACACTGATTTGGATTTATTCTAACAAAGGTTGTTTGTGTCAAATACAGAAAATAAATGTAGTTCTTAACTTCAACTACATGGTTAAAGACAAAGCGGGACAAAAGGACAGTACACAGTGCCCTATTTTCAATTATTCTTTTTAATCGTGTGGGAACTAAAGGCGCATTGCTGCAGTTTTTGGAGACAAATTCAACTGTGTTCTTGCCAAATAAAAATCTCAGCAGCTCAACGGGTGGTCTGGGTTTTGTCTGCTTCTATTCTTAAGGATGCTTCATACATTTTTAAAAGAAGAGCGAAAGCTGGATTGGAGTCGCACCATGAAAGCGCCCACACTCTGCGCCTATAAAGCTGTGCTGTTGGGACGTGGAGAGAACAAAGTCTGGCACCGTGTAGAAAAAGATGCTGCCTTGATGGCAATGTTTGTCGAGTTAGAGGTCCACTATAGCCCACCACATCATTAGAGAAGCTCTAAGAAATCAGATTGTTCTTTTACCAATCAGTGACCATACCGCAAGTAAGAACTAACAACAGTTTGCAGTGTGGAAGCTGTTACTTTGGGAGGAGGAATCAGTTACTGATTTTTGTTATCAGTTGTGTTTAGATTTAAGAAGGCATTTGAAAAAGAAACAATAATAAATTATTATAATAAAGAAATAATAATAATGCAACCCTTACACCATCAAAACCCCTGACTCTTACCTAAAAATTCACCGTCAAATTCTCCCAGGAACTCAAAAAACTGAAAGATTAACATAAGTGGCACCAGACATGTCTTTATGTCTGCAGAGTATAAAAGGTACTGGAAAATAATTATAAAAGAAAAATGAAATCTGGGAACCAAAAGCTTAAAATAAAATAAAGATTTCAATATAAACATAATCTAAATCCTCTCCTACCCAGAGCAAACTGTTCGAACAAAGAAAACATGGAAAAACGTCTCCAAACAGTCTACAAACAAAATTTCATTCAATTATTTACTACATAAGTCTGATTCTTAAACCAGCATGAAAAGTTCATGGTGGTTTCGTATTTGTTTTAAAAATGGTAAAAAAATAAATAAATAAATAAAAAAGCATTTTTTTCATAATCTCCGATTAGAAGACAAGTGTAAAATCTGAAAATGAAAAACAAAACAACAAAAATAAGAGTAATTTAACACAAAACTTAACATAAACATTACAGGAAACTGTTATGTCATTTAATGTGATTCTTTCTTTAAAACACGTCCTTGTCAACCATCCCCTGGTTTGCCACATTGTTACTTCGTGCTTTAAACTCTTGCGGATTACAAAATCAGCAGAACAATCTCAAGGCGTCTGTGGGTTGAAACAAATTAAAATGACACACAATTGGCTGTATCCTCCAGTTGATTATTTCATCTGAGGGCAGCTCGGGGACCCATACAAGAAAAAAAAAAGCAGCTTTTAGGGTCGCTCCCACTTCTGGATTAAAGGAATAATTCACTAATGTACTTCAATGGCGTGTATCTGGGATTAGGGATTACTGGTTTGAAGAAGGAATGGATTTTGGGGTTCACTTTAGGGGTGGGGGTTGATTATCTCAGAGAGACGCAGACAAAACAATGTCTGGACAGATGTAGGAAAGCTGTAACCTAAATAAGTAAAGATAACACCAAATAAACTGATCATCAACGCATCAACAGATATAACTGTAACAATGCTCCCCAGTTGTTTTCACAACTGGTAGTCCAGTCAGAATCGCAGCGTAACTCAGCTGGTACTGTTTGCTTTCACGCTGCACTGTGTCAAACAAATCAAACACTTAGAAACACCTGTTTTCCAATTTGTCCAGTGGTGGCGCCACACCAAGAACCACTGAAGGAAACATCATAAAAATCTCAGAAAAAGACATGAGAGCAAAAAATAGAGTCAGATTTTAGCAGGTGGAGGATTTCTCTTTGGCAAAAGGCCATGAGATATTTCTCCTGCTAGAGCGACTTTGGTTGTATTTACCCAGAATGCTCTGCTTTTGGAGCATCTGCTTGACGTTCACACATGCATTCGAACCAGACCAGAGTTCACATCAACCGAATGAAGATCTAGGTTTGACTTTCCATTCGTTTTTTTGTATGTTTTTTTTCTTTGTACTTTATGGATAGCCTCAGTTAGCAAAAGATAATTTGTTCTAAAAATCCAGCTTTCTCTCTTCTTTTTATGTCTCGAATTCGAGACACACTAATTTACCAAACTACACATTTAGCAGCCAATAAACCTATTTGGATTTTATGGTTTCATATTAATCATCTGGAGGATCTTTGAACATGTTTCTTTATTTGTGAACATTCTGTACACATCTCAGCAGGAAGGATTTACCTCAACTGGCAGGAAAATAAAATCAAGGACCTCCTGTGAGTTGGCTTTAAACATAAATTTGTAAGTTTAAAGAGTTTTTCTCCATCACACTGAGCTAATCAGCTTCTTGTGCTCAGAGGATAGAAACCCTGTGAACATCAGCCTTGGTCTGGATGTTGATTCTTGTACTCAATCTGCCTAAAACCAGGCAATATTTAACTTCAGCAGTTAATGCTTCTCTATTTAACCTTTTTTAAACACAAAACTGCCAAAAAATCATATTATTTGTCTTGTGTGACTGACTGGCTCAGCCTTCAATTTATGTACTTATTTATTTTTTGCCAATTCCACTCAGGGGCTGGATTTATGCAAAAATAAATATCTACAGAAAGGTCCATTAGGAATGTTTACTTTGAGCAAACGTAAGCCTAATTTTAGGCCGCATATTAATAACTTGAGTTTATTTTTTCTATGTTGGTGGGCAGAACCAAAAGAGCTTGTATTGTTGTTCATCAAGGGACTTAAACGGATGTTTAGCTAAGGTTTCATAGTAGACTCCACAGCTTGAATAAACACTATAGTGGGTCAGGCTACCTTGTAGTGTCAAGACAGATTTGGTAGAAAAAAAAAATAAGGGAAAATTAGCAATTACTTCAACAACTCACTTTTTTAACTTGGCACAACAAACTCAATCCAACTAAGGCAACAAATTGGACAGACTGAAACAAAAAATCTATAAAACATTTTTCTACACTAACTGTTCCAACTTCATTATTCAATGTCTAAAAAACAGAAAACATATCATGTCTATGTTAATAGCTTGATTTCTGTCTGCAATAAAATCTGTTTGACTGATGTTTAACATAAAAAAGATCATTATGCCCATAAAATAAACCATCCAACGTATGAGCAAAAGTAAAAATTAGAAGTTCCTGTTTCGGATGGGCAAAAAGTAACCAGTGGTTGGGGGTTCAAGCCATCATGATCTCCTGCTGTGAGCTGCAAATGCACTGCTGGTCCCATAAGAAGCTTTGTTTGGTAACCTCCTCCTAATAGCATATGTGAGGGTCATTGCTGACTGCTGTTAAGTTTAGTCTTGATAATATGTTTGTCTATCCAGGGGCAACTTACTGGGTACAACCTTCACTGAAGTTATAAATGCATGTTCTGGAGACAATGATGTGGAAAAACAAAACCAGCACAGCTTTTTGAGCCTCTTTAACTGCAGTTTATTTTCCCATTTCTCTTGCCAGTCACAAGTTAAAGTTTATATAGCCAAGTTTATTTCTATATCCCATTTTAGCAACAAGGCAATTAAAGTGCTGTACACCATAAAAACACAACACAGTCAGTAATTATGAAGCAAGCAGTAATCATCACATTTTGTCAAATGCCATCATCAAAGTTTGATAAAATTCCTATACACAGGAATTAGCTGGTAACCATTATGTCACTTTGAGATGGCAAAGTGACATAACAACCTAACAAAAATGTTACTCATAAAAGACAAAGCAATGACAAATATCTTATATGTAGATTCTTTAAAATAAACACGTAATATATTTCATTAAATTTAGATAAGGGGGAGGATTAAGTAAGTGCTCACTTCTTCCTACTCCTTTTCTAACAGAAGTAGTGGTCAACTAATTATTTTGTTCTTGGCTATGGATGCACATGTTTTCTCTGTCCTACTGAATGTGCTTGTTTTTTGTTTTTAAAAACCTGTTTGAAAATTCAAAAACCATCAAGAAAATGCAACAAAGATCCAAGACATTTATAGTTATGTCTTAAAACATCTTTTAAGATGCTGAAGATGCTAATTTAGTTTATTTCTAAATGTAATAAAGATTTAATTTGGTAAAACCTGGTTTTAAAGTATAGCCTGCTAATAAAAACATTTGTAATAATGAAATGAACTTCTGTTGAAAACTTCCTTATATCTCAAGGTGTTCAGAGGAACATTAAACTCTGAGCCAGTGAAAGGAGGTAAGCACTTTGGATTAATTGTGACATTTAGGAGGCTTTTAGGGCACATCACTAAAA